TGCCTGCAGCCCAGACAGTCTCCCCACGGCAGATTAGGACCCCTGTGGCCATGTGATCGCTTAACACAGCGATCACATGGTCACAATAGGTGTCCATGTGTCTGCCTGCAGGGGGACTGCCTGTACTGACAGGCAGTCTCCCTGCTAGTGTAAAATCAATAAAAAATTAAAGTTAGTGTTAATTAAAAAAAATAAAATAATTATATATGTGTATATATGATATATAGACATATATTATACCATATAATATATGTCTATATATCATGTATATAATGTCATACTAAGTGTATTTTTATATTAATATGTACTTATATTAATATAAAAATACACTTATAATTAAATTACACACGTATATATATAATATAATAACTATATATATTGTATATATATATTATTATAAAATATAAATAATAAGTAATTTAAATTAAATAAAAAAAATTTTAAATAATAAAAAAATTTAAAAAAATTATATAGCTATATGAAATTTTATTCTAACTATTTTAAAATTAATATATATATATTTATATCAAAATACACTTAGAATGAATTTGTATATATATCTATGTATATAAAAATAAATAAAATAATAAGAAATATACATACGTCCATATACAAAATTACATAAATAATTATATAAATATACACGTAGACTTCAAATATATAAATATGCATATATATTTAGATTCTACGTGCGTATTTATGTAATATTTTTACATAATTCAGTAATTTTATTGATTGCAATTTGAGGGACCTGCCTGCCAACCCAGGCCGAAATTCCAGAGAATTTAATTTGCTAGCACTGTATTTTACCCTGTAACGTTCTACGACACCCTAAAACCTGTACATGGGGGGTACTGTTTTACTCGGGAGACTTCGCTGAACACAAATATTAGTGATTCACAACAGTAAAACATATCACAGCGATGATATTGTCAGTGAAAGTGACTTTTTTTGCATTTTCACACACAAACAGCACTTTTTACTGATGATATAATTGTTATGATACGTTTTCCAGTTTTTAAACACTAATATTTGTGTTCAGCGATGTCTCCTGAGTAAAACAGTACCCCCCATGTACAGGTTTTATAGCATTTTTGAAAGTTACAAGGTCAAATATATGGGTCAAATATTTTACATTGAAAATGGCCAGGTTGGTTACGTTGCCTTTGAGAGCGTATGGTAGCCCAGGAATGAGAATTACCCCCATGATGGCATACCATTTGCAAAGAAGACAACCCAAGGTATTGCAAATGGGGTATGTCCAGTCTTTTTTAGTAACCACTTGGTCACAAACACTGGCCAAAATTAGCGTTCAATTTAGTTTTTTTACTTTTTTCACACACAAACAAATATGAATACTTACTTTGGCCAGTGTTTTCGACTAAGTGGCTACTAAAAAAGACTGGACATACCCCATATTGAATACCCTGGGTTGTCTACTTTAAAAATATGTACATGTGGGGTGTTATTCAGAGATTTATGACAGATAATAGTGTTACAATGTCACTATTGATAAATTTTAAAAATGTATGTTTTGAAACCGCAATATCCTACTTGTACCTATAGCCCTATAACATGCAACAAAAAGCAAAAAAGCGCGTAAACACTAGGTATTTTTAAACTCAGGACAAAATTTGGAATCTATTTAGCAGTTTTTTTCATTCGCTTTTGTAGATGAGTAAAAGATTTTTCAAGTAAAAGTCAAAAAACATGTATTTTTTCAATTTTTCATCATATTTTTTTATTTTTTTTAAATTAAAATACATGAGATTATATAAATAATGGTATGTAAAGAAAGCCCCTTTTGTCCTGAAAAAACAATATATAATTTGTATGGGAACAGTAAATGAGAAAGCGGAAAATTACAGCCAAACACAAACACCACAAAAGTGTAAAAATATTCCTGGTCGCAAATGTACAACATCGCAAAAACAGTCCAGTCCTTAAGGGGTTAAATGTTGTGTCAACTATGCCGAGCAGCCTGATGTCCAAAAATATAAATCTCAAAAAAACATATTCTTCCATTTTCTGGTACCTCTGCCAATTGCGCTTACTAGTATCACAAGTACTATATGCAGTGCACTGGACACCATAATCATCATAATCCCCTTAGATGCCGCAGCTTGGCTGGGGTCTCGCCGTCCCTTCCCACCCTGGACAAACACCTGGATCTAGCTCCCAGTGGGAAGACCTCCCCTCCAAAAGAATATAGTAATCCAAAGAGCAGTAGAGCAATCTACCCCTCCACCCTCCCCCCCCACACACACATGAGCCAAGGCTTAATGCTGGAAAGCCAACTGTTTCATTCAGGGCCACACATGGTATTTTATGTAATAGCCCATGCAACGGGTTTCCAATACAAAAATACAGCGAAATCCCTCCCATGGTCCTTTGTGCCTGAGAGATAATTATCTGAGAAGCAAACATATAATTAGATTATCTCTCAGGTACAAAAAACATACAATTTACAAACATCCCAAAAGTACCCCCAAAATCCATAGAAACACCGCAAAAGTTACATTCTCAGATAGCCCCGATCTGGGTGACCAACATCTCCAAATATCACCCAGATCGGTTCAGTGGTTCGGTTTTTCCATGGAAGTCAATTATTTGAACATGGTCCAATGCCCAAAACAGTTCCATGAAATCAGTGCTAACTGTCGGTCTCTTTCAGGAGTATAAAAGTGCATAAAATACCGAACATAAGATATAATTACAGCGTGTAGCTTGTTTACCTCATTCGTGGGAATGATTCCACCGAGCAGTGCCCTTCTAAGTTGTATAGAACCGAACGCAGGCGATTATGGAAGTCCAGCCATGTTCAGGAGTTTGAGTCTAATTTCAGTTCCATGAACTCAACGACCATACACAGCTGCCTGCGTTCATGCAAACAAGATGACCACTACCTTGTGGTCATTCATACGAATTGTGGCAACCCAGACGAACAATTAGAAAACTGCAGTGGAACTCGTTACAAGGTGTGAATTGGATTTAACAAGCACATAGGTTGTCTCTGGTTCGTGCGGTTGTTCAGTTCCCGAAAAATATAATCCCAAATCACACGCACAGAGCCTTTTATAGTGTATTTAACAGTGTATCTTGCAGGGCCCATAGTCCTGAGGCAGGAGTTGTTAAAGTGTACCTGTTATGTTTTTTATAACTTATGCTCTTTTGAAAGAACAGACAATTCTATCTCATGCTAGCAGATTTAAAAATAGGGTTTTACTTTTCCCTTTTAATCAATTCTTTGGCATTGTCTGTCGTAGAATTTACTGACAAGGAAGAGCAAGACCTTGCACAGGTGGTCGTTCTGCTCTCCACACACACGTACAGCACATACACCGCTATGGTAACTCTATGGCTGGCACTGCTAGTGAGGTTATGGGGCAATGAGGAGGTCACATAAGAGACTGGGTAGAATGAAGGACAGACTGGAGGTGGGTGTTACAAGAAGAGTAACACCATTAAAGTTTAAGGCATATCTAGACGGTTTACATTGAATACATCAGGTATCTCTGGTGAATTGTGATACATTCAGTGTATTTGAGGATGATTTAAGGTAAGTAAAGTTTACATTACATATACACTTTCATTTTATATTATTACTATTATTATTATGGTTTATTATATTTAGTATATGGATCTTCAGGGTTATGTGTTTTCAAGATAGGTTTAGTGGTAAGGGTATTTTTAGTTTTGGTTTATTTAAGGTTAGGGATTATTATTTTTTTTATTTTTTTATTTTATAAGGTACAAAAGACATGCATTTCTTTAGGAATACAATTTCACAGTGCCCAAGGCTCCCAGTATGTAATCAAGCTCGCAATTATTATAGTAAATTACAGTTCACATATTGTACAATTTTCACAGAGTACAGGCATTTACATTTTATCCCTGCAGTTGGGTCTAAGTATGAAGGCGAAATGTCGCCTGTCGTCATATCAGTTACATTACTTTAACATTGTCACAGTGCACATGGTATCAGATGACAACTACCATCAGAAGTCATAATTCAGTGCTCCGAAGAGAGCCCCAGATTAACGTTAGACATGGACGTATGGGGCACGCGATATCAATGGAAAGTTACACCACATACTGACCAAACATCAACATAGTCAAGGTTAGGGATTTTTAAGGTTAAAGTAACTCTAAATGTCCTAAACTCGGTAAGTCTAAATACTGTTTAATCCAACTAAATTACCTCCTCTTTCTCTAATTGTAAAGTTAGTAAAAAGTGTATAACCTCAATTGCCATTAAATGAAGAGATATATGTAGCAAAACTATTCTCTCCCCAGCTACTTAGCTTGGAATAGTGCTCTAGCTATTGGTGGGGTATACTAGTACTCACACTGAAGCTCTCCCTGTGGTAGTTCGACTGTAAGGAAACCTTTGCTGCGTAACTGCCTTGTCAGCCCATTTTCTGTAAACATTTATCGGAGTGGTTAAACAATTCTGGTTTGTTCATATGCCTCTACAGCATTACCACCTGACAATGTACCATTGGCAGCATAAAGACACTGTATTATAAAATCTGTGTCCATTTAAGATTACTATAATCATCCATGACAGAAAAGTGAGCTCCATGTTGTCAATGGATTGTTGCTATGCAGATTCTTGGTCCTTGGCACTTAAGATGCTGAATAAGTAGATATGTTTATCCATCCTCTTTTTATGTTATATACCAAGTTGACTCCTCTTCCTCTAGACTTTCTATATAAGATCTAAAACCTATCAAATTACTATATGTGGATTATCTCATATATATTGCATATTGTATATTATAACTATTAAAAACTTCTTCATTATGAAAGTAGAGAAAATGTTGACACGTTAGCACTGCTTTAAGTGTGTCAACACCATGCTGAAGATTCTAGTTTTACATGAAATGTATTGAATAACATATATTTTAACTTTAGAGTGCTAAAGTTTGTTACAAGGAATTGTTTACATGAATTAAGTCCATTTCATTAATAACCTAGGCCTTTTGTTTTATGTACAGGGATGGGAAGAGTCTGTGGATGCAGCAGTTTCTCACCTTCTAAGAACTTGTCTATCTAAAAGTTCCAAGGACCAGGCCCTAAACCTTACTAGTCAACTGCACATTCCTAAAGATACATCTAGATTAAAGAGACACATCACTTTACTGTGTGATAGATTAGCCAAAGGTGGAAGGCTGTCATTAAGTGCGGATCCTGTAGCACAAGAAACCATTGTAATGCCAGGTAATTATTCCTTTGTATGTACTATTTGTACTGTAATTTATATTAACAAATGAAGTAGACATTCTAAGCACCACAGCTATTTTATCTTAGTTAAATGGTTTAACTGTTCCCTTTGTTCTAATCAATTTGAACCATGATCGAAAACCTAATATTTTATAACCCTTCATATAACTTAGATCTCTTTTTGGAATTCTTAGTATATCCATATTGTTTTACAGCATCTCCTTATGTCCTTCAATATCCAGAGAATTAACTCTCTATATGTTTCAGGTGTCCTAGCCATGCTGCTATCATAGCATCCCTTTCATTCACCAAGTAGTTTCTAAAGCTCGTCGTATTTTACCCTTCCGTGTGTGACTCAGACCCTCCAGTATCTTCCAGCTTCTAATCACCAATGACGTTCATACTTGCCTGTTTAGCAGATAAAGAATGGACCTCTTTTGTAACTTCTTAATTTCATACTGACACCAGACCTGAGTGGATCCTTAGTAGATTGACAGACAGTGGACTTTGTGTCAGTGACGCTCACATTTTACTGCCACTAGCATTCGTGATCAGCACATACAGCATGCTGATGGTGAACGCATACCCTTTACACTCACAAGTGTGTCTGCTAGCATAAGCTGACTGTGCTTTATATCATAAAAAGAAAAAAGGGTCAGTGTGTCTTTAAAACAGACTAAAACATTAAAGTGCAAAAAATTGTATAAGTGCACTGTGTTATATTACTTCTCAGTAAAAAACCTTATGTACAAAAAAATAGCAAATCTGTGCTAAAGTATTAAAGTGCCCAAAAAAAAAAATTACAGTGCTTATAGTGGATAACAGAAAAAGTACTTGCACTGAATAACTCACTTACTTGACTCAGAATAAGGGTATATCTCTTCCAATATTCTCAGAAGCATATAATGTAAACAAGATAAAAGAAAATATATAGTGTAATACAATATGAATAAAAAACACTCAATGGCTAATATTAAAAACCCATTCACAAGTGGAGAGCAGAGAAGCCTGCTCTAACTGTCAAAGCAATAGCAGCAGCAAGTGGATAAAACATCTTAATTTTGAAAGTATTCATAAAATCACCCAATGCCCATCACCTCCTGACTGGAACTACTTCCATGTGCTCGGATACAGTCCCTCCTGTTCGTTGCCGGCTGTGCTTTATACATGTGTACACAGCTTAATCCTCTCCCATACTTGGCTGCTCTGTATTATGACATTTAATTATAGCTTCTCTATGAGAAGCATTGCATTTGTTGATTTGTCAATAACTATTTAACTAAATGTGTCTCTGTGGAATAATTTGATCGGACACTAACCATCTGGGCAGAAAAGGGAAGGATCAGCTAAGCTGCAGAAGTCAGATCAGCAGCTAACACAACAAAAGTATTGTTGACTTATACTAAGAAGTCCTTTCTAAAAAAAAATAAAAAATTATTCAACTAAAAAAAAAATTAAAAAATATATATACTTTTCATTTATTTTTATTTTTTTGACCAGACCTAGAGTGTTCCTTTAGAACATTTCAAAGCACAAAAGGTTTGGATAACAGAAAAGTAGCTAATGGACTCCTGTCCTTCAGTAAAATATTTTTATGACACACATTCCATGACCCTCGAGCTTAAAATGTGTCAAACTCAAATTTTTTTCTCACATAAATAGTTGGTTGAAAAGTCAAAGGACTTGTAAATAATACACCATAAGCTAAGTATAAAGAGTAACGAGTGTGATAAGAGTCAACATCCTCCTGGGATTGTAAAATCATTTCTCTAAGGCTACAAAACGACAGACCATAATGTGTAGACATTCCATATCCTTATGGACAAAAAGCTGCTTTTGAAATCTAAACTGACGGTACACAACATAATTACATACATACCTTTCTGAAAACTTAGTATGGAAAACAAAGTATGTTTTCCTATTTTTTAGGGCAAATAGATTATTAATCATAATCAAAGTATTATTTTGTATTTTAAAGTAAACAGGTGCTATCAACTTAATAGCACACGTTAATCACCATAACCCATAGAGAGTATTGTTGTGGTTATGGTGGAAGTGGTCTTTTTGTGAAACAGTTTTTTGTGCAGTTAAAAAAAAAAAAAAAAAAAATCTCTCTAGACACTCAAAACGAGGCCACCCAGCTGCTGACTGATATTAGGGAAGTATCACTTCTTGTCTGTTCATATACATCCAATATATCCTTCCTGTGTGTGGTGGCTGAGTGCATATTGTAGTTTTGAGCAGTAAATGTTCGGTATAACAGTATACTTCAGAACAGTAAGGAAAGCTATTTATTTTTGCGCAGGAAGGACACAATTTTTCAAACAGAAGAAACTTGCTTCACCAATTAACATTTTGTGCATTTACACGCAAATATTATGATTATGCAATGACGCAAATACACACCTTGAAGAATTGGGGGTCATACTTCAAATTGGTTTCTTTATGTACAAATACTTGTACTCTAGGTTTCATCAGTTAACAGTTATACATGGATAACAAACAACAGATTAAGATGTTTCTAGCAATTAGTGCATGTATTTCTCACAACTCCTGGATATTTCAAGTAGTACTCAGATCATACATGTTTAATTAGTTAGGTTTAAAGGAATACTATAGGCATCGAGGCCATGTCATCTCAATGAAGTGGTCTGGGTTCAGTGTCCCTGTTTCCTTAACCCTGCAATGTAAAACATTGCAGTTCTAGAGAATCTGCAGTGTCGACATTGCAGGGTTAAGAATGCTCTTAGTGGCTCTTTGGCCACTAGAGGCGATTCCTGCAGTTTCACAGTTTTTAACTCTGTGAAACGTCACTGGACATCCTCACGCTATGCATGAGGACGTCCAGCATCTTGCAAAACACAAGAGGAAAGCATTGAGCCTAATGTGGAGACAGAACTCCCCAGGCATGCGCATTAGGTTCCCCTTTGTACTGATATCGGAGGAGGAGTAGACCGAGCCTGGAATCTGGAAGTGGAAGTGTTAAAAGGCGCTTTATTTTAACCCTATCTGAGCAATGGGGGTGCGGAAGTAGAGGGAAAGTGTAGTATTTGGAATACAGTTTTATATTCCCAACACTATTAAAATGTGTTTCTTTAATATTAAGACTGCACCATGTCAGTTTTAGTTTGTGTTTTAATGGCTTCATTATTTTATTTGAATATTAAAATCATTACACAGCTACACAAATAATGGCTTGAATGTACAAACTAATATATAATTTTAAAATCTTGGAAGTGTTGCATCATTTGGCACAGAAAGGTGGCTAATGTGGAGTGTGGCATTTTCTAAGAAAAATGTAAAAAAGTTTTTGTTTTTTTATTAATTTACTTTAGATGCTTTCCCATAGTCCTTTTTTGTGATATGTATATTTAATACTTTAAAAATGTTGCTATTAAAAGTATGTATCTCTTAAAGCTTTATAGAAGGTAAAGGACAAACGAATAACCAAATATCATTCTATTCTTCCATATGCTGAAAAAATAATGTCATTACATTTGTTGTTGATTTTGTGTGTTTTGTCTGGAAGAAATTATACCTGAATTCTATATATATTTTTTTGTAGGACTTCCCACGAATTCTCCTATGCCAAAGAGCAATGCATAGTTTTATATATCTATGAATTGTAATACAACATTTTAGTACATTTTAGACTTGCAATACAATTGTGACATTATAATCTGTCCTAACACTGTGCACTGGCATCATTAGGAGTAAATGACGAAGTGGACGGAGAACGGGACTCGAAACTCCAGGGACATTTTTGAGGGGCCCACTGCAAAAGAAATGTTGAGACTTGATAAGAAATGTGAATTGCTGCTGTACTTTTCGATCCTTCAAGCCATTGAATAATAAATGTGTGCGCAGTTGAAATAATGTGAAATTTGTTAAAACAATGTTAATGATGATTATCATTTACCTGCAGTAAATGTAGTGTTTATTTAAGTTTAAGGTTGCAAATTGTTTTAGTTTATCACAGGTAAAAGTGAATTGTTGATTTATTTTACCATGTTTAAGCTTTATTGAGGTTTTTTCATGATTATATCAGTTAGAGCAGCATTTGTACCAGGTTAGCTTCTGCAACAGCCAAATCTTTTCTGCATTGTCTAGCGCTACCACGTAAAACATAACTTAGCGCTATTACAAGTCGTTAATAGGAAACAAAATATTCCAAACTATACCACACTTGATTCTAATATTGAGGTATTGAGGCCACTTTAAAAAATTTATATATATATATATTTTTTTTTTTGCTTAATATGTTATTTTGTTACAGTATAGTAGCAAAGTTGGTCCTCAAATACATTCAAATTGCAGATTTTCACTGTAATCTTACATGAGAACAGGTTGGTTAAACAACACATGATCAACAATCTGAAAGTTCAATTTCTGTTTATAAAGCTAAATCTGCACTTATGTGGCAAGATTCTGAAAATGCCACTATTGATTGTTTTTCGATGACCAACTTTGGGATCCTAGGGTAATTGAGTGAGCTCTTTATCCAAATTGTAAAACTTCAAATCCACATATTCTGGAAGTTGGAGTGATTGATCACTTCTTATTCAAAGTGAATATTTGTCTGCATGTGTAGCCGAGGCACACTTTCTACTTGGGATATGTAGGCAATGCAAAACAGTATATTTTAGAATTTGCATATGGACATGTTATTAATGCTTACACAAATTTAGAAATATAGCTCATAATTAGGACTCAGGTTTCGGTCTATTAATTACTTTGTTATTGCATCTTTTTTATGAGGGCTGTTGACTTTCTTAAAACATTTTTAGGTTTTACTACAAAACTTTCTCCACTTTCTTACTTTTTCCATAAGATGTGACGATGGACAAGGATAGAGGGTGACATGCTATCAAAGTGGGCTAATAGCAAAACCACTAATTTCTGAGAACTCTACAGGTTACATAATAGATGCAGGCATATTAATACACCTGAAGATGGCACAGTTTGGGTCCCCTGTTCCAAAGCCTTGTGTCATTCTTCTGGTGCCCTACTTCTCAGGTATACCAATGAAAATCTAACAAAAATGCCATCTGAGCACTCATGGATGCACTCTCATGTCGGAGGTCTGCATTATCTGGCTGTCAGTTCACACATTCAGTTGCAGTTAATGCCCTTGCATGTCATTGATACAGCACCAGTTTCCCAAAGTATGGAATTACAATATCAGAAGACCATAAAAAAAAAAAAAACACCAGTATCTTAAATGGGCAATATGGTCACCACAATAACTTTAGCTTAAATGGACACTGTAGGCACCCAGACCATATATAGCTAATTGAAGTAGTTTGGGTGCAGTGACCCTTTTGTACTTAGTGCTGCAATGTAAACATTGCAGTTCCAGAGAACTGCAGTGTTTACATTGCAGTACTAATTCTGCGTTCTGTGGCTGTCTAACAGACAGCCACTAGAGGGCTTCTGGAATCCAAACGCACACCTACCTGCATGTAACTTGCACGGCCTTCCTAAACACTTCATGTAGTAGTATTATTATTGCGATTGATATACCGCCAACAGATTCTGTAGCGCTTGTAAAGATGTCATCTAAGGTTTACACTTCATTTATTGCAAATTCTGTTTAATGTAATTTCTTATCTTAATATATTGAGCTTTCAGTAGGCAATTAAAGCTCAATTTACAGAGCAGGAGATACAAAACTTCTAAAGTAAGTTACATCTGATAGATTTTTTTTTCTTCATTCCAGCTGTGTCAGTCACAGCCAGGGGAGATGTCTCTAGTGCTGCATAAATAGAAACAAAACGATTTAACTCTTAAATAGCAGGTAATTCAGCAGTTACACTTCAGAGGTATGATCTATACACTAAATCTGCTTATTTAAGCTAAAGTTGTTTTGGTGACTATAGTGTCCCTTTAATGTATTTATTAAACTATTAATAGCCATACTAAGTATGAAATATGGTCTCTTACAGTACAGTTTGGTTACCGATAAATGACCGTAGAGACACAACACATTTGATAAGACCGCCAGTGTTCCATTTTTACTAATTAAAGGGACACTATGGGCACCAACGCAACTTAATAGTTTTTGATATGTTGTGGCCTTATCTTACTGATTTATTTTTTTCCACATTCAAAAAGCATTTTATGCAGTGTAAGTTCACAGTTCAGAAAATAAGAGATAAGTGTGAGATCAGCAGCTGACATTACTGTGCACCACTGCCAATAACTGTTGTTTTCCTCTAAGCACAGCTTTTGAATTCTTTACAGGTAATAAGATTGGCTATGGGCAGAATTTAGCAGAAAGATATTTGAATGTAGAGAAGAATACAGCATGAAAATAAGGCCAAAAGTCACATGCGCTTATTTCTAGTTGGTGCCTAGAGTGCACCTTTAACGCCCCCTTTGTGTTCTTTAGGAATTTCTTTATGTGTTTATCTAGAGGGACTATATGAAACATCAACAAACCAATGTATTGTGATACATGTCTGTATCAAATAAACATTTTGTGTTTCATTACTGTCTGTATTTTAAATTGGAAAATTATAATTTTTTTTTTACAATCTTTAATTTAGATGCAATATTTCAATAAATATTTGTTAAATTATTACACTGTTTTCAAATTTAGTATTTTGTTATTGCTATCCACAATTTCAGACTTGGTATATATTTGTGTGTGTATATATATATATAGTTAATACAATGTTAAACAAAAATCTGCACACCAGTCAAGCCATAAGACTTGCCTTTACCACAGAAATCACAAATTTGCAGTGATGTTTCTACAATAAAGGATTCTGGGTGGGCATATGCAAATTTGTTTAACAAAGAATCACATTTTTGCCTCTTTCCATTTTAAACATGGATTCCTTTGAGTCTGCCTTTGCTGTATACAACAGCTTTGAAACACAACTTTGGAAAATATGCAAAGCCAGTGAACCACTCATGGACAGCTGTTTCATTGTTAATGCAAATCATCAGAATGAGGTTGGTTACTGGTCTGTTTATTCATGTTTAAAATGGAATGAGGCAAAAATGTGATTCTTTGTTAAACTAATTTGCATATGCCCACCCAAAATCCTTTGTGGTAGTAACATCACCGCAGATGTGATTTCTGTGGGAAAAGCAAGTCTTATGGCTTGATTGGTGTAAATATTTTTGTTTAATATTGTATTAACTATCCACAGACTTCAGGTGGAAGGGGTTTTCAATCACATGTTTTTCCCCACCATAACCTTTTTGGTTTTTGCTTATATATGTGTGATACTCAAAATATTTGAATATCGTGCAAAAGTTAATTTATTTCAGTAATGCAACGTAAAAGGGGAAATAATATACGAGATAGACGCATTACATGCAAAGCAAGATAGTTCAGTTATGAGTTGTCATAAGTGCGATGATTATGGCTTACAGCTCATGAAAACCCTAAATCTACAATCTCAGTAAATTAGAATATTGTGAAAAGGTGCAATATTCTAAGCTCACAGTGTCCCACTCTAATCAGCTAAGTAAGCCATAACACCTGCAAAGGATTTCTGAGCATTTAAGTCTGGTGCAGTAGGAATCACATTCATTGGGAAGACTGCTGACCTGGCAGTTGTGCAGAAAACCATCATTGACACCCTCCATAAGGAAGGAAAGCCTCAAAAGGTAATTGCAAAGGAAGTTGGATGTTCCCAAAGTGCTGTATCAAAGCACATTAATAGAAAGTTATGTGGAAGGGAAAAGTGTGGAAGAAAAAGGTGCACAAGCAGCAGGGATAACCACAGCCTGCAGAGGATTGTCAGGAAATGGCCATTCAAATGTGTTGGGGACTTTCACAAGGAGTGGACTGAGGCTGGAGTCCGTGCATCAAGAGACACCACACACAGACGCATCCTGGACATGGGCTTCAGATATCGTATTCCTCTTGTCAAGCCTCTCCTGAACAACAAACAACGTCAGAAGCGTCTTACCTGGGCTAAAGAAAAACAGACCCAATCTGTTGCTCAGTGGTCCAAAGTCCTCTTTTTTGATGCGAGCAACTTTTGCATCTCATTTGGATACCAAGGACCCAGAGTCTGGAGGAAGAATGGAGAGGCACACACTGCAAGATGCTTGAAGTCCATTGTGAAGTTTCCACAGTCTGTGTTGATTTGGGGAGCCATGTCATCTGCTGGTGTTGGTCCACTGTGCTTCATTAAGTCCAGAGTCAGCGCAGCCATCTACCAGGAGATTTTGGAGCACTTAATGCTTCCTTCCGCAGACGAGCTTTATGGGGATGCTGACTTCATTTTCCAGCAGGACTTGGCACCTGCCCACACTGCCAAAAGCACCAAAGCCTGGTTCAATGAACGTGGGATTGATTGGCCAGTAAACTCGCTTGACCTGAACCCCATAGAGAATCTCTCGGGCATTGCCAAAAGAAAGATGAGAGACATGAGACCGAACAATGCAGAAGAGCTGAAGGCCGCTATTGAAGCATCCTGGTCTTCCATAACGCCTCAGCAGTGCAACAAGCTGATAGCTTCCATGCCACGCCTGAATTGAGGCAGTAATTGCTGCAAAAGGGACCAAAACCAAGTACTGAGTCCATATGCATGCTTATACTTTTCTATGTACACGCCTTGTTTTATTGATTGCATATAATATTCTAATTTACTGAGATTGTGGATTTGGGGTTTTCATGAGCTGTAAGCCATAATCATTGCACTTATGACAAACCACGACTTGGACTATCTTGCTTTGCATGTAATGCGTCTATCTCATATATTAGTTTCCCTTTTAACGTTGCATTACTGAAATAAATTAACTTTTGCACGATAGTCAAATTTTTGAGTATCACCTGTATATATTACCAGGAGGCTGCACTCAAATGCATAAATGGGGTGCTGCTATTTTTTTATTGTGAATCACCACGGAATTTGTTGGTGTTCGATAACTATAATAATAGTAATATATATATATTTTATGAAAATGTATCCTACAATGGAAGAAACACAGAGAAACAAATTAAAGGGACACTATAGTCACCAGAACAACTACAGCTTATTGAATCTGTTCTGATGTGTAGAATCATTACCTTCAGGCTTTTTGCTGTAAACACTGTCTTTTCAGAGAAAATTCAGTGTTTACATTACAGCCTAGTGATAACTTCACTGGCCACTCCTCAGATAGCTGTTAGAGATCCTTCCTGGGTCATGGCTGCCTAAAATGCATCCAAACATTCAGTGTCTCCTTCCTCTGCATGCAGAGACTGAATAAAAGTCTAATTGTTGCTGCCATAAATAAGAGTTGTAGAGATTACTTTGAATAATTTGCTATTCTAATTAATACACGTAAATCAGTCAGTCCATTTCAGTAGCCAGTTATAAATTAGATATTGTTGTTGTCTGGCTACGTCTGTAAATAACAATTTCACTAAACCCTTAATATATGCCATTATTCACTATCTTAATACCGTAGTATTGACTTAACACTACTCATAATATTGTTACTCATGCCGGTGATGATATCTCTGTGAGAATTTCTCACATTGTTGAGGTCGAGCTTCTTATGACAAAAAGCAAACAAAACAGCAGGAAATGGGTTGTTTTATTTGGGTGTAACTCTGTCCACCTTCCTGAGGGAATGGATAGCCATAACAGTAAATACCTGTTTATTTAGACTTTTTTTGGGGGGGGGAGGGGGGAAGAGTTACTTCTAAAATAACTTTTGTATAAATCAATTTAAAGTGAATCAATATATCAAGAACAGATGGTTGCTGTAAAAAATTTATAATTTTTTTTTTTAATTCTGACAGTCATACTCTACAATTATTTATTAAACTGAGAATTCTTTTTGCAACTGCCCCCCAGGCCGCCCTAAATCCAGGGCCATCTGCTTATTTAAAAGGGTTGCCACTGTGTGGCCAGTGCGGGTATTGCAGGAAAACCGGCGGCAATGCAAAGACTGGTATTTGTTTTTCTAATTCTGTGCTCACATATGGATCCAGTGGTCGAAGCAGCAAGAAGATTTAACCCTGAACTAGCAGGTGTCTCTACCAGGTACCTGTGTTTATTTTACTGTAAATATATTCTGTACTTCATTGCCGATTAGCAGTACATCCTGGGGGGAGGGCTCGGTCACACAGAATCCTCTGCTGTCTGTTAACCGGGTGTACTGCCTGGCCCCTTCCTTCCATGACTGCCTGGCCCCTCCTTCCGTGGCTGCTTGGCCCCTCCTTCCCTGGTTTCCTGGCCCCTCCTTCCCTGGCTGCCTGGCCCCTCCTTTCTTGGCTGCCTGGCCCCTCCTTCCCTGAGGTCAGATATGCAGGCAGAGCCTGGGGAATGGAGGGAAGCTGCACATGGAGAAGAGTGGCAAGGAGTTAGCTTGATGTGAACATCTGAAAGAAAGGGGTCTGAAAAGGAAACTAAGAGTCCCTGAGAAGGTAAGGAAACTGAACAGGCTGGGTCTGGTAGTAAAGTGAGTGAAAAGGAAAGAGGTGCTTAATATTAAATGGAGTTATTGAAGAAAAGTGGAGAATGAGAATTAAGTTAAAGGTGGGTCTGTGATCAGAAGCATTAAAGGGACACTATAGTCACAAGAACAACTACAGCTTATTGAATTTGTTCTGGTGAGTAGAATCATTACCTTCAAGCTTTTTGCTGTAAACACTGTCTTTTCAGAGAAAATGCAGTGTTTACATTACAGCCTAGTGATAACTTCACTAGCCACTTCTTAGATAGCTGTTAGAGATCCTTCCTGGGTCATGGCTGCCTAAAATGCATCCAAACATTCAGTGTCTCCTCCCTCTGCATGCAGAAACTGAACTTTCCTCATAGAGATTCATTGATTCAATTAATCTCTATGAGGAGATGCTGATTGGCCAGGGCTGTGAATCATGCTGGCTCTGCCCCTGATCTGCCTCATTGTCAGTCTCAGCCAATCCTATGGGGAAGCATTGTGATTGGATCAGGCTACCACTTCTGATGATGTCAGCACACTGCTTGTTTTTTGAGTCTAACAGCATGCAGAGTTACAGCTTCTGGCTTGAATACAGTAAGATTGTGCTATATTTATGGAGGCATGATGGGCCCAGTGGGGCTAGATGATGGTGTTAACACTATAGGGTCAGGAATACAAGTTTGTGTTCCTGACCCTATAGTGATCCTAATTTCATATTCATATGTATTTTTACATAGGATAAATTATTTATAATGCCCAGTGTTATAAGAGCCATTAGTACAGATTTAAAGACCATGGTACTAAATACATATATGGATTTTATGCTTTTGTTTTATTTGTTGTTTTTGTTTCAATTCATGATCTCAGCACGGAGTGTAGAGCATGCATGTCAAACTCAAAGGCTAGCACGGGCCACATAAGTTTATGTGAGCCGCAAAAAAAACAAACCTTTAAATTTTCATAGAAACATAGGTTTGTTTTGAAAAGTACAGTATAAAAATCTGTATTAAATCTCAGTCCCCCCTTCTGAAATAAATCCCACCCCCCTTTATACTAAATCCCAGCCCCTCAACCCCTCAATACTAAATATATACTATCTATACTAAATCTCAGCACCCCTCTCTACTAAACCCTGGCCCTTGTTTTTAAA